GTAGGCCCCCAAGATGATTTGCTCTCCCCCGTATGAAATACAAAGGTGCTTCCAAAGTGTTTGGTGGCTGTGGCATGGAGTGCTTATACGTGTGTGTGTGTGTGTGTGTGTGTGAGAGAGAGAGAGAGAGAGAGAGAGAGAGAGAGAGAGAATTTCATCTGAGTTGAAACGTTGTGTCATAAAGGGAAACTCTTAAGATTCAGGATGTTCTAAAAGGAGGTGAAACATTCTAGCCTGCAGGAAGGACTAAAGGTGTTTGTTCTAAAGGGAGGTAAAGCTTTCCATCTTGGAGGGAAGCTTATTAAGACTCAGGAAGTAAAAAACTCTAAAGGTTCAGAAAGTCCCTGAAGCTGACCAGATTCAATAGGCCCTTCCTTTCTCAGGGTTACAGGAAGGTGTGCCAAGACACCTCAGACCGGTCAAAGCTGCCTAGAAGAGGATCAGCCCAAATGAGCTGCCTGGAAGAGACACTCTCCAACGTGTGGAGCTGCCTGTCTTTCACCAGCTGTCACCCATGCTGGGATGGGCTTTTGGTGATGCAGCTGTCTGAGTCATTTCTGCTCCTGTAAGTAACTTTCCACCCATACTCTTTTAAGTAATCTCAGTAAACTCATTGGTTCACAAAGTTGGACTTTACTTTGGTCTGACATTGACTCCCTATTTGGGGTTAGTAGATGTTTGTTCACACAAACAACCTTTTAACAAGTTTTTTGGCATTGGTGTCATTCATAGGAAATGGTGCCAGAGCCTGTTCTATTGAAATAAGCTGTCAACCAGAGAACAATTATTACTTTTCAGTTTAGAAATAGAAAAAAAAAAGGCAGGGAAACTGTAATTGTGTTCTTTACAGAGCATTAAATAGTTTTTTTTAAATTACGAAATTGGAAGTTCTGAGAACTTTAAAAGGTAATTCTAGAAATCGTCATAAAGCCTCCCCAGCTTGGAGATTTATAAAACTGCCAGAACGACAGGCCAGAGATAGAAGAAGAAGCAGTGCTTGGGGTCAAATCAGATACCTGGGGCCCGAATACAGATGGGGCTTTTGAGATTTGATTTGAAGAGAGAGATCAAAGTGAGGACCATGATTTCCTATCCAGCCGGCAATTGCATGGACATGCTCTCCGCTAAGCCTGAGAGACCTTTATCGTGGAGGAATGGATTCCAGGAGGACAGAGCTGCAGATATCTGGCTGTTTCCACTACTGTAAATCACACTGAAATCTGTCACAGCTGGCAACCCAAGGGTAGCTCCCAGCTTCTCTGAAATATCCTGGGAATTGTCTAGAGTACTTTAACTAAGAAGATCCTACCCAAAGTGTTTGGTTCAAAGAATTTATTACACCCAAGAACACAAGCAATGAAGATAAAGCTGATTAAAGAGAGGATGTATAAGAAACAATTGTATCACCTGAATAAAAGATAAATCAACTGTAAAAATGTCATTCATGCTTTGGGTAACAATAAAAGAAAAGAAATAAACCTGTGGCTATAAAATATGTGCATGCTTATTTTCCGAATGCACAGTGACAAAAAAATTAATTCAAAATCAGACTTGGAATGAATCTAACCACTATGTTGCATCATCTGACCACTACAGACTTGGTTCTGAGCATACATTATTAGTACTTTGCACCATGTGTGCCAACACACCAGTCAGTACCAACAAATGCTACTGGAAACACCTCAGCTCAGATTCAAGACCACTGTATGTTGTGAATTGCTGTACAAAGTTTTCTGCTCTTATAGAAGCGTAATGATTTAATTACAGTAATGAAATCCTTTTAATATTTTCCTTCCAACATCCCTTAGCACACAAGTATCAAACTAGTATATCTTTGGATTCTCTTATGTTGCACTGTTTGATTGTAAAAATTGCTCTTTGAGTTGCTGACTTGAATTTCATTTTAAAAATTATTAAATTAATTTTGACTTCAAATGAGGATGGAGTTTCCAACAATTTCCAAAATGGCCCCAAACAGGTTTCTGTTATTTTGTACTATGCATTTATGTAGTGATGTTCCTAGCACCAATGATCATAAAATACTGATCAATTCTGAAAGATGGTGAAGATCCTCTGTGTTCTGCAGTACCAATATCCAGCCAAGAGTTAATTCTTCATGTAAAAATAAACATGCACATTCACCTCATTACCGTTCAGATTTGTTTTTTCTTTAATGAATGGTAAAATTATATATATACCAAAGAATTATTTTTAATTTTTTGGATTTATTTACTTTTATTTTTATGTGTATGCGTGTTTTGATGTACGTAAGTACATCCATGTCGTACAATGCCTGCAGAAGGCAGCAGAGGGCACCGAACCCCTGGAACTGGAGTTACAGACAGTTGTTAGCTGTTATGTGGGTTCTGGGAACTGAATCCCGGTCCTCTGCAAGACCAATGAGTGCTCTTAACCATGGAGCCATCTCTCCAATTTAAAAGAATTCTTTTAAAATAAATTCATCTATGATTTATTATCAGTAAATGCTTAATTTGTAAACGTATTTTATATATCTATATACCTGAGGGGGTCACATAAAAATTTCTCAGGTAGAAGACAGTCACAAATGGAAAGTGTTTAAAAAGTCCTGATTTAACTTATACTAGATTGCTTCACTCTGCTTAGGTACTGTTCAGTCTGAGGTTTTGTGTGTGTGTGTGTGTTCATGTGTATTTGTTTGCTTGTTGCCTGTGTTACTATATTAGAACACAGACCCATGAGTTGTCAATGCCAAACAGTGCTTACCATGTAGCAGTTACTTAAGAAGGATTTTTAAAAAATATTTTATTTATTATTTTCATTTGTATGTGTGTATTGCCTGCCTGTAGGTAAGTGCACCTGTGTAGTGCAATGCCCGTGGTGGACAGAAGAGGCTGTCATATCCCCTGGAACTGGAGTTACGGGCAGTTGTTAGCTGCCATGTGGGTGCTGGGATTCAAACCTGGGTCTTCTGCAAGAACAGCTAGTGTTCTTAACTGCTGAGCCATAAGAAAGATTTCTTTTAATGGAATAAAAAGTTGCCTACTACATTATCCCCTGGGAACTCAATGGCAAGCTTTTTACAAGGTGGCTCAGAGGGGATAGGCTTGAGGAGTTTGTAGGGGAGGTGATGGGAAGCCTGGACTGTAGCAGTGTTTACTCAGAGCTTCCCACAGCCAGGCACTGGAACCCTTCTCATATGTCATGCCACCTAATTGACTCTTGGAACACGAGTCATAAGTCAGATCCAGTATACCTGACTCTAAACTGCGTATACTTTCTGTCTCTCATGTTACCTTTCCGAGGAGATGAAGGCCAGGGAATGTATCAACTATGAGCTGTCAGAGCAATACTGAGCAAACTTCATGTGCTCTGTGCCACTTACCTCCACCCCTTCCTTTTTCCTAAGGTACTCCTTCCAGTATACACATAGCAAACACCCAGGAAAGGGAGCAGTGACCTTCTATAAAGAATAAACCTGAGGACAGTGGGTGTGTAACTCACCCATCGTCACATGCCCTACCCCCAGCACACCCTTGGGACATAGCAGGGCCTAGATGAATACATACTGAGTGAGTTGACCATCACAATGTAATGTCAATACTAAGTATGGGTAGCTAAGTGCTCTTTTAGGGCACAGGCATGACACATTTGTGGCAGTGATCAATGAGTGTGAGGACAAGGATCATATGTAAAGGAGGGGATTTGAAAAAAGAGCTATCCTCGCTTAACAACAGGTGCCGCATCAGTGACTCTGGTTTCTTTGTATTTTAGACTATGACAAGATGGTTTTGTTTTAATTTGGCTGAGAACATTAGAATTAAGAAATACTGAGTCTAATCTCTGGGCACTTAAAGATCTCACCTTTCCCCATCACTGTTTAAGGCAAAAAGACATTTCATAGAGATCTAGCAAACTCCAGGAGAAATTCCCCATTGCTACCCCCAAATCCAATTGTAGAACTTGCTCTTATTTCTTTGTGAAGCTACTTGCTTAAATCCCACAATTTATGAGGAGAAAAGCAAAAATATAATGCTTAGAACATTCTTAAAGTAGCAATTTCTAGCTAGTAAAAAAGCACTTACTGGCTTTCCTGAGGGTCCTTCTGGTCCAGGAAAACCTATATCTCCAACAGGTCCTCTTTCACCCTATAAATGTATCCCAAGAAAAAATTAGTTGTTAAAAATGTTTTAAGAGGGCTGGTAAGTACCACAACAGGATATGTGCTAGGAATGTGGCAGTAACTTACCAGCTCCCCTGGAGCTCCTGGAGGGCCTGGGCTGCCAGGTTTTCCCTAGTTAAGCAAATCACAGAGAAATGTTAGGAGCCATATCACTGATACCATGTGTTCTTCCCTCCCACATAAGAGTTTAAAGGGCAACCGGGGTATCTCTCTAATCAAGATAACAATCCCACCAGACACAATGCAGGGGTATGCTAAACTACAAAGCCTGTAAGGCACAGACTAGAGAATTGGTAAGGGTGGGAGGGCAGGACATTTTCAAACATGTTAAAACAATTATTGGAAATCCTTCTTATGACTTTTTTTTTTTTTCAGGCAGCTCTTCATTACTCTAGGGGGAGGAATAATAAAGAAGGTTGGAGAAGTTTTTGCCAGATTTTGAGTTATATCGTGAGTTGGTAGTAAGATAACTGAAAAAAAAGGTTTTATTTGAAAAGCTGTGTTTGGCTATAAAAGAAGATACTGGTGTCTTCCAATACTTCATGGCTTGAAGGACTAAGAAATGGGAGACCTTGGTAGAGAAAGACCACAGGGAGTTATGGAATCATGGTTGTTATGGTTTGAATGTGAAATGTCCCTTACAGATTCATGTATTTTCAGTACTTGTTCCACAGTTGACACTGGTTTGGGAAATTGTGGAACCCTTGAGACTGTGGTCTAGCTAGCAGAAAAGGGCTGCTGGGGGGTATCCTGGAAGGTGACACCCACTTTTAGTTCCTGCCTGCACTTACTGCTTCCTGATCTTCCAACAAGTGAATCAGCTACAGTGTAAGCTCCTTTTGCCACTGACTGAGCCTCTCCAGCTGCCATGTGTTTCCCCTGTGGGGCTATATAGCCTATGAACTGAGAGTCCTAAGCGGCCTCTATCAAGTATTTTGTCACCGTGATGAGAAAAGTAGGGAACACAGACTGGTAGTAAAATGATCAAGTGTCCAGACCAAGCTTACAGTGTCACTGCTGGAAGAGCCACGTCCTACTCTATGGGCCAGCCATGACTGGGAAAGATATTGTGGGGATCTGAGTGAGAAGCTGGGAGTTTAGATAAAAAAGAATGGCCCTTCCATCCACTTGCTTTGGAATTCTGGGAAGAGGGCACTCCAACCCCAGCTACCCAAAGGAGCTGCTGAAGTTTTTGTGGTCATGAACTGGAAGATGGGTTAGAGTCAAGAAGGTCAATATCCAGAGAGTCTTGGCATGGGACCCAAGGGAGTATGGAGTGCTCACTCATTAAGAGCTAAGGAAAGGGATCCAGGGACACTGGTGGAAGGCCACAGCATTCCCAAATGTAGATGGTACTAGGAAAGAACTATAAGAGCCTATGGGGCGGGGGGCGGGGAGGGAGGGGGGACTGGAGACATGACTCAGCAGTTAAGAACACTGACTGCTCTTGCAGAGGACAGGGGTTCGATTCCCGGCACCCACATGGTGGCTACGAACCATCCTTAACTCCAGTTCCAGGGGAATCCGAATCCTTTTTCTGTCCTCCCGCAGCATTGCATGACACGGGTGCACTCACATACATACAGGCAATACACTCGTATACATAAAATAAAAATAATAAATAAAATATTGAAAAAAAAGCCCATAGGAGAGCACTCTAGACAATGTCCCCATCTAGCATGGGGCACTAGCAAAAGGATAAATGGTCTCTTATTCACACTTAGAGATGCTCCCTCCTGCATACCCACAGGAGGTAAAATCCTCAGAGAGGGGGAGGAAAGACATTCTGGAGCCTTGCATAGCCCTGAATATACTGGAAAAACTGGTCCATTCTAGGAGGAGCAGGATTACATCTGTGGACCTCCATTGAGTAGACATGGTATGTCCAAGTGGCTCCAACCTGTCTTTGACTATAATAATCATCTCAAAAGTTCTTATAGTAGTAGAATAGACATAAGAAAAAAACCTTCCATGTAGCCATTTTACAGTGTATAACCCAGCAACACTGAATGCATTTGTACTGACATGTCAGATAGCCACCATCACTATTTCTAGGCCCTCTTAACTCTTATTTTCTAAGGACGCATTAAAATAAACCAAATGTATATTTTAAATTGCACAGTAGCATATTTGCAGTGGGTCCAGTTTTTATTCTTCCCTGATTCTGTAGTTGTCACTGCTCTTAATTAAGAGACACAGGTAGCCGGGAATGGTGGCACATGCCTTTAATCCCAGCACTCAGGAGGCAGAGGCAGGCAGATCTCTGTGAGTTTGAGGCCAGCCTGGTCTCCATGGTGAATCCAGAAAGCTGGGGCTACAGGGAGACCCTGTCTCAAAAAGACCGAAAAAAAAAAAAAAAGTAAAAGTAAAAGTATCAGATCTTAGGTCTCCAAATAGATGTCTGATATTTCAATCATGTTACGTATTTCAAAGATATCTCTTGAATTGCTTATATAGACTATCACATGTTTTATACGTTCACTTGTATGGAGTAAAATTTCTTTGAAGGCAGACTTAATTGACAGTAATAGCAAAAATTATTTTGAAGCCACAGTTGTTGAACGCAGTGGGACAGTGAGCTTTCTTGTATCACGGGGAGGCAGAACAGGATGCTAATGCAAGGAAACAGGTTGAAAAGGCACTCAATACAATTCCAGAAACAGAGTTCCAAAATGATAGTGTGTGTAGGGGGGTGAGGGGATGGGTTGTGAGATTGTGTGATGTCTACTTTCAAAAAAAAAAACTTCCTTCCTTTTATAAAAATTCTGCAGAGATTGCTAGAAATAATATTTTTCATTTTTCACCTTTACTGTCATGCAAATCTAGACAACATCGGTAAAGGAGGCCATTCTCTGTAAAGGATACAGATTATGGTTAGGGTTTTATTGTTTGACTTAGTTAAATGTGTTTCTGCAGAGGTGCTGAATGTCTCTGGGGATGGGATGATGGTAGATGTTGCTGGGTGGCAGTTGGAGGCTTTGGGTGGTATAGAGTGGTGCTGGGTGGTGTTGAGTGTGGGCAGGTGTGGGGTGAGGTTGAAAACAGGGCCCTTTCTTCTCTTTATCATGTCCCTATGTCTCAAACACAGTTTCCACTGACTTTCCTTTAATGTGCTTCTGGACATCCCCTGCAGGGGCACCTGGCAGGAGGATAAATGGCCTCTTATTCAGAAAGCATGGCTACAAAATTTTAATTAGGGCATCATGAATGAAGATAAGAATTATCCCAAGGGCTCAGAGAAATGATTTCAACCTTTCCTGGAGCTCTTCCTATTCATTTGGAAAGACCTTGATGAGATTAAAACGTTTGACACCAGAGAGCAACAAAAATGACTGAGAGCATGGAAGGGCTAGTTTACGAGGGAACATTAGCAGCAATAAAGCTCTGCTAATAACACTGGGTGAAGGGAGAAGCCGGCCAGATTGCAGTTTAATATGAGGAGTCTGAGGTACATGCCCTGGGATGAGGACTCAGCCTTTAGAAGATTGAGAAACCTTGAAATATGACAGGAATAGAGATATAAAAAGATGAGTTTTCAGAGCTGTACACACATACTAATGTACAGTGTCATGGGTAACTGGATTTCCTGTCTCACTATGAAAGGAAAGCCCTTGGGAAGAATAAAAAAAGACTAGAAGGAAGAAAAAGGTGAAAATAAAGATCAGAACAATCTTGAATTGGAAGAGGGACAGTAGTTTCAGCTTTCAATTGGAGGCTCCAGGTCACTGCTGCCACGAGAGTCCATTTGTGGAGTACCGAGCCCCTCTTGATTGCTAGCCACAGACTGCTCATGGAGAGAACCATTTACCTGTGAAACCAACATGAGATGGAACAAACTCACCGATATGCCTGCTACTCCTGGGGGACCTGCTGGGCCTCGATCTCCCTGTTGGGATTAAAATGAAAATGGCTACTTATAGTGACATCTATAGACTCTTTTTTTGGGGGGGGTCTTTTTTGAGACAGGGTCTCCCAGTAGCCCCAGCTGGTCTGGAACTCACTATGTAGACTAGGCTGGCCTTGAACTCACAGAGATATGCCTGCCTCCAAGTGCTGGGATTAAAGGCGTGCACCACCACATCCAGCAACATCTATAGACTCTTATAAAATCTGTTTAAAATAATAATTTGGATTTGGTCAAACTTTCATTTGAACCTAATAAACTCCATCAATATTAATGGGTATGAAGAAAGAGGGGCAGAAAATTAATAAAATGAACATATAATTCAACCTATTATATAATTTCTTCCTCAAAAAAACCCCAACAAAGTGATTAATAGTCTTAATAAAAATGTATTCATGTTATCCCTGTGACCTATTTTTAGGATAGGATGTGACCATATATATTTATAGATAAAATGAGTCAACATTTAAAATTCTATACATAATAAAAATCATTACTATGATTTGAAAGATTAAGCACATCAAACATCTTCTAAAAAGCTTTCCTTATACTTAGCTCACTGAATGTAGGGTTGGAATAAAAAGATCCAGAGCTAAAGATTTGTGTTCTTCTCATTTGACCAATCAGAAGATCTCTTTAACTGGCCTGAAAAACAGGTAACTTAGTTGCTTTTCAGGAGGGAATGTGATATTTTGGATACAACTGTCAATGCTATAGGTGCTTGTGGTTATATATGGGATAATAAAATGGCAATTTTGTTGGACAGAGCCAACATTAAAAAAATTTCATAACTTCACTTAAGGACACAAAAGAAGACTTGATGAAATGAAAATATAGAGAGCGTAAGATGATGCTTATAAAGGTGTCATTGTTGCCCAGGCTAATTTATAAACTTAATGCAATTGTTATATAGCTGCTATTTAATTTAAAAAATTAGCATTAACTTGAGGTAATAAGTGAGAGGATGTAAGGAAAATTAAAAGAATAATAGATATTAACAATGCCAATATTTAAGCTCATGATAAAGTTATCATTGAAAATGATGGGGTACTGACATAAGCTTGATATAAGTTTGTCAAGGAAATATGAAATAAATCTCAGAAATAGATCTCAGTATTTATGATAGGATTTTTAGTAAAGGAAGTGAAGTAATACAAATAGGGCTGATAATTGAATAATTTCTTTATATTATAGTTCATGTAAGTTCCTCATATATATGTAAAAATAAAACAATATGAATGTTCATAAAAGAGTGAGCAGAATCTACTAGTGACCATCTGATCTTGGTTGAAAATGAAAGTAAACATTGTTACTTGTGTATATAAAAGCCAAAGAAGAAATAAAAATAGCTTTAGATTTGACTGCAATAATGTATTTATAGTAAGATTCAAATTGAAAATGAAAAGCAAAGACCAATTAGGATAAAAACTTCAACATAGCCGGGTGTGGTGGCACATGCCTTTAATTCCAGCACTTGGGAGGCAGAGGCAGGCGGATCCTCTGTGAGTTCGAGGCCAGCCAGGTCTACAGAGTGAGTTCCAGGCAGCTGGAGCTACAGGGAGACCCTGTCTCAAAAAGACTGAAACAAGAACAACAACAACAACAACAACAACAAAACCATATAGATAAAAACAAAATCATTAGGATATAAAACCCTTGTTAAAACAAATCTAATAAAAAATAAACAATATATGATTGAACTCATGTAGAAAGGTTTGATTGCATAAATGTGGATAATTTAACAATGATTATCAGACCAGAGTGTAGGGAGAAGGAGGAACAGGGAGAGATTGGTCAGGCAATGCAAAGTTGAGATAGAAACACGTGGTGTTCTGTTGCACTGTAGACTGACAATGGTTGATGATAATTGTTTATTTCTAAATAACTAGAAGATTTTTAATGTTCTCATTATTAAAAATGATCAATGCTGGAGGGGTGATGGAATGATAAAATAACTCTGATACAGAAACATCATTGTTTACTGCAAAATTATTGTCAATTAAAATTTAAAAAGAAAAATGGGGGGGCTGGAGAGATGTCTCGGTGGATAACAGCACTGGCTGCTCTTGCAAAGGACCCGGATTCAGTTCCCAGCACCCACACGGCAACTAACAACCATCTCTAACTCCAGTTTCAGGGGATCCAATGTCCTCTTCTGGCCTCTGTAGGCATTGCAAGCATGGGTGCACTTATACGTATGCAGGAAAAACAGTCATACATGTAAAATAAAAATAAAATTTAAAATTTAAAGAAGAAAAAGAAAGATTGGAAAAGGGTATGAACAGGAAATTCTCATATGTTTTCATCTTGAATATACTATAAGTTTTCAATCAGTGGAAACATTTATATATCTGATAAATATTAATGTTAAGAGACCTCCAATGTTGAGGAGGACCCTCATTTTCCTGAATCTCTGTCCCCTAATCATCTTGCCTCATAGTCTCATAGTTACACCTGAGATGTAGCTGTAAAAATATCCACAACCTCTCCAGAGTCTTAGTTTCATGTTCCAACTTTTGACCACTATATTCCATCATAACTCATTCCTTTGGTACCTGGATCCCAAGTCCTCCAATCCACTGAAGGCTCAAAGTTTTCATTACACTTCAATCTCTGCGTAGCCTGTTTCTTTTGTGCCTGGTTAAAATTCCATCATCATTTGTTTTCATTCCTGCCTGGTGTGCACCACTAACTTCTTTCCTCTGTATTTGCATTTAAGTACTCACTCATGGGCAAAACCAGAGCACTATTCAAAACCATTCCTCTACTGCACTATATCTTCACCTGGAAGTGTGTAATTGGCTGAAGAAACTCATACATGATTGAAATGACTGATCTGACTTCACTTAATGACCATAAATCTCAATGGTGCCCTGTGGGTTGCCAAGCTATGACCCTTTTTTGACTCCTGAACTTTCTTTCTACTAAGAGGCCCTTCTTCTTAAATCTCCAACCTCTCTTTCTTACTCATTCCCAGATAGTAATATTGCTTATTCCACCTCTGAGAAGATGTAAGTAATTAGAGAACAGCTTTTAGACCCTTTTGGAGTCCTCCTACATGTCAACATCTTGTATACTTTCACACCTGTTTAAGATCTCAATTTATGGACATCTCTTTTAGCTACTTAAAGACAGAATTGCAGCAACTCCTCTCCATCAGTACCCCATAATGTCATTCCTACCGGATCTTTCCATCAGCATACAAGCAATTTGATATTTCTATGCTCTTAAATCTGATCATGAGCCAGGTGTGGCAGTGCACACCTTTAATTCCAGCACTCAGAAGGCAGAGGCAGGTGTTTCTCTAGAATTCAAGGCTGTTCTAGTCTATATAGTAAGTTCCAGGCCAGTCAGGGCCACAAAGTGAGGTCATATCTCAAGAAGCCAAACCAAATCAAATAAAATCAAACAAAAACCCTGACTGGCTTCCTCTAGAATCCTCTAGTTCATTTCTTTCCTCTTCAGCAAAACTCCTTTTGCATAATTTATACTGTATTTTGACTTTTTCCTCATTCTCCCTTAAATCCATTCAACTCCAGCAATTGCTTCTACCAATTTAGTGAAACAGTGATTTATTTGTTCAAGGTCATCCAAGGACTAGTGTATCCCTAAAAATCCAATAGTCAATACTTGGACATCCCACTTGACCTCACCCCCTACTTGGCCTGTCTGCAGTGTCTGACATGGGAAATCCTTTTCTTCTCCTTAACTTATCATTTTCCTTTGGCTTCCAGAACATACTCCCCTACCATTAGACTCTCTTTTTGTTCCTCCTTTTCTTCTTGATCTCCTAATGTAGGAGAGCTTCAGGGTTTAGTCCTTGATCTCTTTCTCTTTTTAGAACTGTCATTTTCTCTTTGTCATCTTGTCCTGTCTCCTGGCTTCAAGGTACATTTATGTGCATAAAACAGTCAGATTTATATCTCCACTAAGATCTCTTCTGCATATTTCTGTTTTAAAAAATTATTATTATCTTTATTTTTGTGTGTGAGTGTATTGCCTGCATGTATTTACATACGTGTACCCATGTCATGCAGAGAAGAGGGCATCAGATCCCTCGGAACTGGAACTGGAGTTATGGGAGGTTGTTGGCCACCATGTATGTGCTGGGCATCGATCCCAGGTCCTCTGCAGGAGCAGCCAGTTCTCTTAACTGCTGAGCCATCTCTCCAGCCTATGAGCTGCCTATTTCTGCGTCCCATTGCTTATGCCTTACCTCCACCTTGTTGACTAGTAACTATCTCCAAATGAGCTCTCCTACAAAATTAAACACCTGGCAAATCCCACTCCTCCATGTAGACTCAGCTTAGTCTTCCTCATTTCAGTTCATGACCACCCATCATGCCAGTAGCTCAGTCATGAAGCTTGGAACCTTTCTTGATGCCTCTTTATTTCTTTTTTTCTTTTAAAAATATTTTATTTATTATTTTTATTTTATGTGTATGCGTGTACTGCCTGCATGTAGGTAAGTGCACCCATGTCGTTCAATGCCTGTGGAGGATTTTGAGCCAACATTATTCCCACTTAAATACTGGAATGGTCTGGGCTGTAGTTTGTATTTTAAGTGTCTCCCAAAGTCCCATGTGTTGAAGGCTTAGTCACCAGTCTATGGTGCTATTGAAAGATGGCAGGAACTTTAGTAGGTGACACCTCATGGAAGGAAGCCAGGCCATTGCAGGTGTGACCTTGAGGGGTATTGGAATCCTAGACCCTTCTTTCTTCTCTTTCTTGACTTCCTTGCACCATATGCCTCTGCCATACTTCCCCACCAAAGCTCCCCAAAGCAAAGGGCCAGCTGATAGACTGAAACCTCTCAAACTGTAAGCTGAAATAACCGTGTTCCCTTTTTTATAGGTATTTGTTATAGTGATGGAAGGCTGAGTAATAGTCTTCCAGCTGGCTTTTTTTGCTTCACTTTGCTTCAACTGCAAGCTCTGTCTTCATTCTGTTCAGAAACCACCAGTGACTGTGTTTCAACTCAGCATCAAAGGTGAAGTCTTTAACAATAGCTTATGAGCTTTTGTTGGTGCTTATCCAACTCCCTGCTTTGAAGCAGGAGTTTACTTATTTTATAATACCTCACTTAGCCATGATCAGTCTACTAGTCACAAGCTCGCTAGACAATTCTCATCAAACTACAGGGCTTAGAAGCTTATCTCAGTCTCTTATTTCCCTTTCACCAAACACATAACTAAGAATCTGCAGACAACAGTGCACCTCCAATGGTCATTCTTTGAGCAGTACTTCTCTCTGTGTTGAGGCCATTTCTCTCCCCTGCTTCTCAGACCTCATATCTAAAACTTCTCCATTCACTATTCACTCACCTGTTCTCCCTGGAGGTGGTAGGATATCTCCTGTCTCAAGGCTGTTTCCTCCACCTGGACATTCTTTCTTCACCTTGAGAGATTTGGGTAACTCTCCTTCACCTCCTTCAAGTCATTACTTGACTCTTGCCTCAAGAACCACCCTGCCCAGGAGCATTCCTGTTACTCTTTAACCTGTTCTACTGCCTCTTTATTTCTGTAGTATTTACCCATAACATGGATTATTTTTTCTTATTATGCTTACTTGTTTAGTTTCTGTATTCCCTCTGTAGAAGGTAAGTCCCATAAGAACAGATGCCCATTTGTTTAGTTCCCTCAAGCGGTTCCTGGCACAATAGCATGTACTTAACACATTTTTGAATATTGAATAAACATATTTCTAACTGCTGTGCTTACCTTTACACCAGGAAATCCTTCTAGACCTGGCAATCCCATTGCACCAGGCTCGCCCTATAAAATAGGAAAATAAAAAATGCAACAGCAGTGATCAAAAGGTTTATAAGAATTAGTTTTAAAAGTAAAGGTATTTTTCCTAAAATCCCATTCAACACAGATTTGTAATTTAGCAAGCAAATGTATCCTCTATTTTCAAGCATTTGGTATATGAAAATAGTTTGGGAATAAAAACTAGTCTCCAAAGAGGTATAAGTATACTCTCTGATTAATTATTTTTATTCTGATTAAGAATCTAATTAGGATGAATTCCTCTTAGTACATTAATAACTCCAATTTCAGGAAGAATTAGAATGAAAAGCCGGACTTTAATAAAGTTTGCCAATTTGTGAGACACCTGGGGCAGCTAGCTGTACCAGATGATGAGATTTAACTCTTAACTCTTTGGATGAAGATGGGACTCTCAAAGCGGAACATGGCATCCTTCACATGCATTGTAAATGCTTAGGAGGATCTCCTTAGGAGCAGCATCCTCAATAATTCAAAGTCACCGTTCAAGGTGGTAGGCACTGGCCCGGAGAGATGGCTCAGAGGTTAAGAACACTGACTACTCTTGCAGAGGACCCAGGTTTGAGTCCCAGCACCCACATGGCAGCTAAAAACCATCTGTAACTCCAGTTCCAGGGGAATCTGACACTTCTGACCTCCCTGGGCATTGCACAACACGGGTGCACTTACACAAATGCAGGCAATATGTTCATACACATAAAATAATAATTTTTTAAAAAAGGTGATAGGTATTAAAAAGGGATAGATAAGCATTAAAAAACTTTACATATTCTATTGCATGGTCCAAGACTGTAGGTCTTCAAGGAACACATTTGGAAAAAACTATGTAGAAAAGAAGCTATGATTTGAACAGATAAACATGGTTTTTCACCAAAGAAAGGGTTAAAGTGGGGAGTTACTCGATAATTTCTTGTGAATGAATTACTGTTAACTGAAAATATTTTCTTAGGTCACTAGATGCTTTAAATAAAATCATATAGAAAAGTGAGCTTTCAAATTGTGTTCTCTATAAGTATTTTTTGGACACATGATATTAATCTGCTTCAAGAACGTTACTAAGGCTCTAACATCTATTATTATTTTATTTCAGACCACTTAACAAGCAAGCATATGACTTGGTACTTTTTATGCTTCAGAAATCTTTTTAAATATGCACTAATATTTAATAGGTCAATCATAATTAAAAAATAAAAGAATGTTCAGATTCTATTCCGTATAAGTTTGTGTGAAGGAGGCTTTGAGTTACTAACAAATAGGATACATTCTGATTCTTTATTGACACTTTCAATAGTCCTTCTGTAGGATAGGAGAAGTATTCAATCAATCAATGAATCAATCAATGGAATTTTCTTGAGAACAAAGAGTAATTAAATATTTAGTTAAAAATCATATATATTGAATGCCAAGAAAGAAATTGTTTCAGAAGATAGAAAATTCAATTAAAGGTAATTTTTTCCCTATAAAAGTTTATTCAGCAGATCTATTATTGCCACGTGTTGAGTCTTGAATGTTAATGTCCCCCTGCAAGTCAAGGGTTCAAGGTTTGGTCTCCAATGTGGCAGCATTCAGGAATGGGGCCATATCAGGGAACGCATTATAGATTTATACCTTAATGGCTTGACCGGGGGAGCTTTGTTTAAAAGAAAGCTCCCTCTTTGCTTCCTGTCGCCATGAGATGAGCAACTTTGTTTCATGAAGTCTCTCTGACTTGATATCCTGCCTCACCACAAGCCCCAAAGCAATAGAACAGCTGAGTATGGACTGAAACCCCTAAAACTGCTAATCAAAGCGATTTACTCCTTCTAAATTGTTTCTCTCAAGTATTCTGTCACAGTGACACAAAGCTGACTTAACATGTCACTGAACCTGAAGGATTCTGGGGGAGTGCACTTCCCTACCCACCCCACGATGGCTGTTCAACTTTGTGCTCTGTAACACACAATTCTCCTCTGGCTATTTCTATGTCATGGAGTATTGTTTTCCATTCAGGGGAAAAGGTGGGAGATGATTGGAATTGCATGTGGGTGTTGATATAGGACCCAAAGGAATGTCATGTTTTCTCCCCCAGATAAGCCTGAATGTTTATACAACATTTAATTTCATGATTCCCTATTTTGTTTTGTTTTTGTTTCTCTCATAATTCACAACTTTAAAAGCAGAGAATACCCTGCAATTAGGTTTTATTCTTTTCTCTCTTGCAACTAAGAAATATGGGGCCTTATTTTTCAAATTTTATTCAAGCGTATCTTCACTTTTGTTGCTAGCCATTTTACAGTGCCAGTGAATTGTAATTTGCCACTTAGTATAATATTTTTAAAATGTTCTCACCTATATGCAATTTTTTTAACATAAGAGCTTGAAAGAATGTTCTAGAAAAGTCAGTGAGATGTCTAGATGCACTTATGTGACTCAGAGGGGCTGTTCTTCCAGCATATGAAAGAGAACTACCAGGGAGTTTTTATCAACATGATGAAAGAAAATTGAAATAATATTGAGCAATGTAGGGGGCTGCAGAGATGGCTCAGTGGTTAACAGCATGTTTAACTCTTGTAGAGGACCAGAGTTTAGTTCCCAGCACCAATATCAGGTGGCTCACAATAGCTCCTAGAGCTCCAGGGGCTTGGATACCTTCTTCTGGCCTCCATAGGCACCTGCCACATTGTACACACACACACACACACACACACACACACACACACACACACACACGTAATTAAAAAAAATTTAAAAAACCAAAATATTTTAAAAACAAGCAATATAGTTCTAAATGACAGAAATATGTATATTAGCTTAAAAAGTTACAAAGGGTGCTATCAATTATAAAACAAAGGAAATATATATAACTTACTTAGATTTCAGAATCTAGTACTAGAGTTGAAATAATGACTTTAGGTTAAAGACTTTGACTGTTAATATATACCACCCAGTAACAAAGATAACCTCTTTAATAAATCTTTTGAAAATATATTTAGATATAAAAAAGTTACGTTTCATGGTTTCTTTTCTGGTTTAACAGTTATTCATACAATTTTACCAACTTGTATTATAATAAAAGGACTTGAAATTTTTTTCTCATAGCCTATGTGAAAAAAAAGCCTATGTCAGTGTTACGAGCCTTTTGAGTTTCAGTTCTCTACTCAGGTTAAAAGGATGTACAAATGGAACTGGAGGATGGACTAGAAGCTTGAAAAGAACATGACAGGGGAAAAATGCCAGGGGTTAAAGGGAATCTAATTGAATTTGGCAGAACTTTTGCAGCAAGGCTCCATGGTTGAGAAAGATGCTGAGAACAATTATCATCCTTTGGGCGGCTGGAGGACACGCTCTCCTTCCTTGCTGAGTGTTAACATCCTGATATATTCCACTCAATAAGCAGGTTATGACAGTCTGCATTCCCTGCAGAATAATTGCCCAAGACATGCAAAGCAAATAAACAGTCCTTTCCCCTTTTTTTTTTGTTGGTGAGATGTCAGACATATTAAGGAATTTCTCCCCCTAAGTATTTCTTTTTCACAAGCTACTTAAAATTGAATCAGTCATCAAAAGAAGGCTATTAGAAGGAAGTGTTCCATTTATCAAGAGCTTCATATGTGCCTTCCTACACCACAGGATGATTTTTAAAACCCACTGATGGAAAGAGTTGATCCTTAGGGGCATGGACCGCATCAGTACTAATGCATCTTTAAAAATAACACATTACTGGTGTTTCTTTACTTGCACACTTGCCTCTGACACCTTAACTGATATATACCTAAGAAGGCAGGCCATCTTAACAAAAACCTATTTTCTAAGTAACACAAACCATGTGAAAATACATACCGCTGGACCAGGATCTCCTTTTGGGCCCTGGAAGAAAAATACAGAGAGTTGTTTAAAAACAGTGAATAAAGCAAAATTACAGAATTGGAAGAATTTCCCTTAAATAGATATAAGGAGGACAAATGTTTTGCTTTTGCTACAGTTTGGGTTTTGTATAAGATTGAGGCATGTAATTTGGGTAGTGGAAAGATGGCTCAGTGGTTAAGAGTGCATTTTGCTCTTCCAAAGGACTAGAGTTCAGGTACTCAGCACCCAGGTCTGAAAGCCTGTATTCTAGTTCTAAGGGATTCGATGCCCTGTTCTGCGTCTGCAGGCGCTACACTCACATGCACATACCCACATGCAGACATACACATGTACACATCATCAAAAATAAATCTAAAGAAACATGATTTGGTACAACTCCCATGAACATGGTTATTTGGACATTGATTTAATTCTTAGGTTAACACTGAAAAAATTGTGACACTGGTATGTGAAACATTTCCCATTTTTATAGCATTGTGCATTTTCCCTATTTTATTATAGTTAGTTTCACTTATTTTCTATTGCTGTAAAATTTGGTTATATTTGTGACATGCATTTTTCAATGAACTTGAGTGTTTTTTCTCTTTCTAGCATTATGGTGTTCCAGCTAAGCACATTTAAAGATAAACAGCTTTACTCACTGGGGGACCAGGTGGCCCTGGATAACTGGGAACGCTCACTCCTCCCTTCAAAAGAAGAAGAAGAAGAAAAAAAAAACAAAACATGAGATGAATTTATAGAAACCTGCAACTGGAAAATGACTTTCAATAATTACAAATGGAAATACCTGGATTTTATATAGACTGCTCATGCCACTGCCTTCATTAAACGGGATGCCCTTAGGAAAGAAACGAGATGCAAAATGACTGTAGTACTTATTAGTCCTGAACGTCAATCATTTTACTGAATGATATTCTTCCTACTCTTTTTACATTAAAAAGTTTTTTTTCTATTCTATTTTTAAAAGTGACTTTAATACTGTAAGCTAAATACCAAAATGTTTCCATTTGTAGCATCTTCAAAAGAGCATAGGAGAGAAATAAAAGGGATTGCAAGGTAGAGCTGGAGTACATGGATGCTTTCACTTGGGGTTTGAATAATGTGCAGGTTTAGCAGATGAGACACTAATGCATTCAGAGGAAAAATATTATTTGCTCATTAAAATTCAGTTTCTGAATAGCCCATTTACTCTGTTTACAGCCTGCTAACCTGCAGGTTATCATGTGGTAGTGCTGATGAAGATGTGAATAGGGAACAATTTGGCTACTGCAAAGTGATGTTTTTCCAAGTCTCTTCATACCAAATAGAAAATTGAGGTAAATGGTAGGATGACTTCATTCATAAGCTTGTGTGGATGTTTCTACAAAAACATCTTTAAAACAATGAGGGACCAGAACTTCCTTTAAAAAAAAGGACACAAAAAACCAAAAACAACTTCATATGGAAATATCAAGTCCCTTAGTAAGCAACACTTAAGGAGAACACAATCTGCAATCTGGAAATATTACACATTTAGCATTTAGGACAAACCCCATATGAAACTTTTAGTGTGGAAACTATTTGAATTATTTAAAAGGATAAAATCCTTAGTATCAATGAACGTGTGCTTTTTGGGCATTTTTCCACATTCAGCAGCAAAATTAAAGAAGCTATTGTTACATTATTGTCTTGGGATAGTGGGGGCAGAGGTGCTCAGCTAATACAATTTGCCTGCACCTTCAAAAGAGTGATGGAAGAAAATGCTCCGTCTGCTTATTCTTTTATCATTTCTTCATTCATAACTAGATATGTGCTCTTTTTAGTATGTTATACAACCCCAAAAGATGTAAGACACTTCTGAGAAAGTTCCCAGAGAAGATACATAATCTGCCTTGAAAAATGAATGATTTAGAAGAATTCAGACAGAAGAGGAAGATTTCTTAATCCCACAATAAAACCATAGGTCCCTCTATTGATCTCACGATATATTTGCTGTTTTTCACTGGGGACAGGAGCAGATTTTAAAATCTGAACTCGACGAATTTTCTGTCTTGTTTCTTTGTCAAGGAAGGTAGAAACAGATGAACAGGTTTAAGAAAACAGAGAGACAAGCACCTAATTTATGTGCAAACCAGTAACTGAACACAGACTAATAACATATCTTGTTTTTTTTTCTGAAAGCCACTGTTAGATATTGCCCTTCTCTAGTAAGTTTAAATTCTCGAGTGGTAGTGTAGAAAATAACAATGAATCTGGATCTTGGCTCAGCTGTGATTCCAGCATGGCCCCACATGAGGGCAGACTTGCCACAGAGAGAGGCACCTCTGCTCTCCAGAGCCTCCCTGAGTGCTCATCTGTCTAGATGACCAGGGCAAACATCACTACTCTTGTGCATTTTGCACACTTAGTGGTATATAATAGAATTTCTTCATGCATCAGACAACATTTATGGGATTGAACACACAGCATTTAAAAAACCAAACTGCACTGCCAGAAAAGATCTCCTTTTAAAGCCCTTTTATTTTCTCTAAAGGTTTATGGCGGTCAAATCAGGAAACAGAGTGTCAGGACATACATGATGCGTCTGGAGTCCATGGGAGGAAAGCCCATAGTCTACAAATCTGAGCACTGCAGGTTGTGGCTAAGCTGATTATTCTAATGCTGCATTGCCTGTCATTTACACACACACACACACACACACACACACACACACACACACACACACACAAAACGCAGATCTGACTTGTGAGTGATAAAAACCTGAAGGACATGGATGTTAAGTGCTCAACCTTACTCACAGGTGGTCCAGGAGGTCCAGGTTTCCCAGGGGGTCCCTCGCTGCCCTACAAAGAGATACAGGGGTCAAAATCAATGGCATGGACTTTTAAACCCAAGATTATGAACCAGATTGTGCTTGCTCCAAAAGCCACCTTCTGAAATCACTATGGCTTGCCACTTTGTTTTCATCTCGCAGTCTTCTGCTTAGTTTTCTCCTTCACCCAGTAAAATACATTTTTTTTCTACCCCAGGACAGTGAACGCCTCTGTGCAAGTGTCATTTAGATCCTCGCTGTGTGAACTCTAAATGAAGCTCATTTTTCACTGGAGCTAGACTAGCAGGTGACCCTGTTCTGGGCTTTGAGTGCAGTTGGAGGGTTTGTCGTCCTACACGTGGGTGGGGGGCAGAGTTGGTATGTGCAGGTGGTGGACTCTGTGACTGTGGCTGTCTGGATTAGCCTTCACTTCTAGTCTCACCTCCACCATCTTCATGTCTTTATAAACAGAAAGAAGTCTATAAATTTGACCAAGACAGGAAATCACAACCTATGTCATGTCTGTCTGTTAATATAAAACTCCACAACTAAGTGACAGGTGTCTTGCTGAATAGAAGTGACTGTGGTATGTACAATTTAAATAGCCTTAGGTTTCCACTTACAGGAGAAGCAAAGTAAAAACTGAAAATTTGAAAAATGGATTCAAATTGAAACTCAAAAAATGACTTTTACAAAGTATAGAATACTTATCGACCCACAATAAGCAATCATTGCAATTCCTTTGCTTTTTGGACAGTTGTTCCTATAACTGTGCATTGCTTTTAGGATAGTGTCTTCCTAAAATCTTTTAAGTCCTATTATTTCATAGAAAGGAAACACATGATTAATTGAAAAAGCATCCAGAGGGACTAAAATACAATGTCCAAGAATTTTGAAGGACGTTAGTCCATTTCCAAAATTTGCTTGCAGATTTTTTTCAATATTCATCCATTTTTTGTCAACGAAAGAAAGCATCATAAAATAATATATTTGTTAATAAAAAACCATCTGTAAAGTTTCTCATGCGATGTATTGCCAGAGAATGTGTGACACTGAGCTAATGTGTGTTGTATCTTTTCTCAAACTGCTTTGATGGTGGCTATTTCCTCAAGACATGCTCTGTTATGCTGACTGCTGGCAAAGACCTTCATAGAATTATGTCATAGTTCTCATGAGTCAACAAACAGTATGTGCCTATTGAAAAGACTTCTTTTTTTCTCCTGGCAATTAAAAGTCATATTTTCATTCTCAGTCATGCCCCCAAGCTCATCTCAGTGTGGAATTTCCATTAACTTCAAAGGCCAGTCTAGGAATGAATAATTTTCATAGAGAACAGAGAAAAAAAGGCTGGTGGTGCTGGGCAAGATTCTTGGGGTATTAACATAAAAAAGTATTGAGGCTCTCTAGAATAAGCATATTGTTTCCTTTAAATGTTGGGTGTTTTGCTCCTTGATGTCATCATGTTCCATTTTTCAGGGAACTGGTATCCTGACAAGTGGATGGAAGATACTTAAGTTCATGTGGCCCCGTAATTCTTATTTCCCTAATCTGAATAGTTTTGATTATTTCACCTATTTGTTGCCTGTGCCTAGACTAACACTCTAATGCCACTTTAGATCTGAAACCAGGAAAGCCAGTTCAGCCTTCCTGCCTGATATTCCTCTGCAGCTGGTCCTCTCTTCCAACCACACTACCACATTTGTCCAAATGTCACTGTTAATCTTCACTGTCAGTTTGCTGAAATTTAGAATCACCATGGAAACACACCTCTTGGTGTGTGAGGGTTTGTATTCCTCAGAGGTTCTGGTTCCTCCAAGGAACAGGGCCTACTGTGGAGAATTGACTGTGGAGAGTTAGCCACGAAAGAAGGGGCTTGTGGTGCCATCTGGGGACTGGAGCTGCGAGCCACCAGGAGTATGCGGTGTGAGGAAAGCGCAGTAGCCAGGGGTACTCAAGAACAGAATGGCCTGACATTTATGGACCTGGGGCGAGACTGCTGACCCCTGAGGTGTGGGTGAAAGCTAGTGCTGACTATGGGTGTGCCACAGGAGTGATCTGATACGGCGGGCTCTGAGCCGCAGCACAGAGCTTTGTGGCACAGAGCTGAGAGGCACGGAGCTAGGCACTGGGTGCTTGTTTCTTTGTAAGTCACTCCCCAACGATAATAATAAATGCACATAAAGATATGTTATATGGTTTTCCTGATAGCGCAAGACACCCAGAGAGAACTCTGGCGACGGTTCTTCCAGAAAAGTTTAACAGAACAGGGAAGTAGGGGTATCATCATCACATGGGCTGGAGTTCCATTTGAATAAGTGGGCAGAGATCCAGTGTTCATCTCTCTCTGCTTCTTGACTGCAGTTACAATGTGGCCTCAAGATCCTGCCACCATGACTTCCCACTGTGATGGACTGCATCCTTGAACTGTGAGCTCAAATAAACCCTTCCTTAAGATGTTTTCTCAGAGCAATGAGAAAAATACTAATAGACTCTTCTTCCCAGAAAGCATGTTTCCTAGTGAGTTCTCACTGTGAACTTCCAAGAAAAGCATTTCCAGACTGTCTCACAAGCCCTTCCATTATTGTTCCTTGTCCTGATGGTCAGCAAGGCATCTGGAGTCAGGGAACTCATTGTTATCAGCATGTTTATGCCTTCCATCCCAAAATTTACAGGGTGAATCCTAACTTGAAGGGTGATGCATTAGAAGTGTGGCCTTTGGGAGACGATCAAAGAAGCCCAAGAGAGCTTAGCTTCCTTTGAAATACATGCGAACATGTTTATAAGTTGCCATCTGTGAACAAGAAAGCAGGCCCCACCAACCACTGAAAATGCCAGCCCTTTGGTTGGGGACCTTTCAGGCTCTGGACTAGTGAGAGATAGATGCTGCTTATGAGCCAATTTATAACATTTTGTTATAAAAGCTTAAATAAACTGAGACTGCATGCAGCTATAGCTGCATCTTCCTGATACAAACTAGCTTACTGCATCTCTTTAGGCAGCTCTGCCCATCCACCCTTCTGCGCAGATGGATATTGAATGTAGTTTGGACCTTTGCTATATGACACTAATATTCTAGTCTTTCCTCTGAACACATATCCTGTGTTCAAAACAATGTTTACACTAACATCTTTCCAAGTCCATGAACAGCCACTTCCTGACATCATTCTTGTAGGCTATAATTTGTTCCCCCAGTAAATGGTCAAATCCTGTCCCTAGACCAAGCCCCGTTTTTGTCTGTACCTTGTCACCTTTTGCTCCGGTTGGACCTGGGTGTCCAGTTCTTCCCATTAATCCCTGTGAAACAGAAAACCAAGTTTGTTAAAGAGGCAACAACTAAATGGGCAAAAGGTATTGGAAGGTGGTTGCTAAAACTTACGTGTTTCAAAGGTCATTTAATCCTAATTAAATCAGTTCTATGAGCTTATATTTCTTCAGGTTGATATAGCAGCTGTATCCTGCTGATAAGCCCTTGGAAGAGTAAAATTTATATTTGTGGTCCCTTTTTCACCTTGGTCAACCACATTTAATGACCTTAATTGGAACGTTTTGATACATTTTAAGAATTTAGTCTTGCTGTTTAAATGGCAATTTACATAACATTATGTCTTTCTAAATGAGGTATAATTTTGGTAGTGATCAACATTTTAAATACTCAAAGACTCAGCAGAATTAACAATGTGCATATTGAGTTATGTGATCTGCATTTTGCCAGCGGAAAATGAAATTTAATTTCAATTCTTTGAGAATAGAGCTAGCAATAATTTTCATGGCTCCATGCATAGTTCTTTTCATGTTTTAACTTTACTGCATAATTACAGTCAGGTTTGTTCTGCACACTGAGGTACGAACATAAAGGATAAACTTTTTATTATATTAAACCCATGACTCAAAACATTATGGAATCGTTACATTCCTACTTGAGTGATAGAAAATTTTACTTGTATAGGAACTTTAAGAAGGGGGATAGAGATGTTCAGACATCAATTGAATGGAGTGGTTAGATTTCACAAGTGAAAATGTATTATTTGGGACAAACTTATACAGACATTATTTGTTTATCTGAAACTTAAGTGCAATTGTGTATCCTGTGTTTTATCTGGCAATTGAACTTTAGGATTGCTTAGAATTAAACTCTAAATAAGCAATTGGGTTTGGCAGGTTGGACAAGAAAATAGATTCTCTTCCAGGAAAACAAGATAACCCAAAGGCCACCTTGCTGTGTTTGAGGTGCAGCAAAGCCTTGACTAAAACAGAGTTTTTAAGTTCTCATATAGAAATATAACAAATTATATCTGATCATAATTGGCTCATCCTTTTTCTTTAGAAAATTCTCAGCTTGTGTTGCCATTTGAATATCTCTTGTAAGGTTAGTAACAAAATTTGTAACTAAAAGGAGAATGTTTATGTACATCTAATTCTATTGCCATAGAGCAGTAGATTAAGAAAAGACTGTGGTTTGGTAAATTCTGACAGTTCTCCAGGACACTGATCAGGCTTAACTAATCCTAGATGAAAGTCGGAGGTGTTGGGTGAGGCTACCTTCCTAGACTGGATGATCTACACAGAAGCAGAGAACAAGACATGGATTTAAAAAAAATTATTTATTATTTTTATTTTATGTGTATGCATGTATTGCCTGTATGTAGGTAAGTGCACCTGTGTCGTGCAATGCCCGCAGAGGTCAGAAGAGGCTGTTGGATCCCCTGGGACTGGAGTTACAGACAGTTGTTAGCTGCCATGTGGGTGCTGGGATCCAAACCTGGGTCTTCTGCAAGAACAACCAGTGTTCTTAACCTCTGGGCCATCTCTCCAGCCCCAAGACATGGATCTTAATGCACCTTGAATTGTCCCAGCTGTGAGGTTGAGCATCTAAGTGAATACTTACAGGGGGTCCAGTCGGGCCTGGAGCTCCTGAGATTCCCGGACCTCCTTGAAGACCCTAGAAAAGAAATAGTTTCTACCATAAAATTTATTGTAGGGAACAAACTATTTTACTACTGAAAATTAATCATAGAATTTAGCTAACCAAAAAACATGATGTATGTCATGTACACAGGTCGACTTTCAGAGTAAGAATGATGAGCTAAATGGCCAAAACATGGAGTCAGCACCAAACATAACTGAATCTGGTGATATGTAGAGCATTCCTGATCTTACATAGTTACTCTATGAGCAGAAGCATCACTGAGAATTCTGTACTGCTGAAGTATAGAAATTCAAACTTCAGGTCTGTATAATGCCATAGGAGAAATATATGATCATACCAAAGCTTCATTCAGCTACTGAGTGGTAAAATAGAATGTTTTATGATATATTTAGTTTAGATGTTCAGTTCATTTGAAGAAGAAATTAGTCTCTGATGCTTTTATGTTATGTATTGAAATTAAGGTATTTCCCACTC